TGAAATAGTTTTTCAATGAAAGAGCCACGAATAGATAAATAAGACAAAACATTAACACAGTACAATACCTTGAAGACAAAGAAAGTCATAACTTCATAAATTCATACCCAGCTGTGCCAGTTCCATCAGAAGAGGGAGCCAACATTTCCATCACTGTGGCTCTTTTGAAGTCTCTGTCGAACTAGAAGATAGCATCCTCCATCTATTTATAAAACCAGAAATTAAAAAAGGAGAACCATTAGCTTAAAAATCCGCTTGCCTCAGATGCAAAACCCAACAGATTTTTTCCCTTGAGAAAGTGCTAAAAAAGATGAGAAAAAGACAGGCAAGTATTGGACAGTTTAGTGTGGAATGGGGTCTTGGCCAATACAGTAAGACAGGAAAAGACATACAAGGGAAGAGAGAAATTTCTCAACACACAACTCTCTTGCGTGTGTGCATGTGCACTTGCAAAGCTGTTTTATAAACTTAAAACTTAAAGCATTCCCAAGATGGTGCTCACTGGAAAGAGGCACTTTCGTGTTCAGATTCATTAAATACCATTGTGAAGTAGAATGAATAATTTTGAAATATCTGCCGTTGGAAGCCTCCTCATCGATGAGGCCTCTACAGCATTCCAGAAAAGTACAAGTAGCCACAAAATGAAAAATGCCATTTTTTCCAGTGAGCACAAATAACGAGCTGTGAAATGATTCAAATCTATAAGTGGGATGGGAGAGCTGAAAACAAAAGTTATATTGCACCAAACTTTTTACATTGCAAATTCCCTTCTTTACCATCCACAAATAGGTTATGGACCCGACCACATCTTTCTCAATTGCTCCAGAAATTTAAAGACCCAGCATTATTCCCCCCCAATTCCCTTTAGTCATAAAAAGTTTGGTTATTAGTTCAAAGAAAATGGGGGGAGGAAATCTGCGCCACTGCTGCTCTTCGTCTGCAAATTCAGCAAACTGTTGATGAGTAAGCCACCAAAGTTCATAAAAGTATTGCACTTTACATGAACTTCTAGGAACTATTCGTACACATTCTTTTCAAAACCCTCACCACATTGTAGTATGGTAAAAGGACAGTGTACACATTTCTTTTCTAAAGCCACCCCCACCTTCCCAATCTTCAATTTCAGGATGGAAAATCCTTTGAAAAATTATTAACCAATTATCCCAAACGCATGACCTCCTCAATACTTTGCATTGTTCCAAAAAAATATGGTTGTATCATCAACAGTTTGCTTAGTCTGGGATCAAACAAAAAAGATTAGCATATTTGGGAATGCTTGCATCACTATGGAAGGCATACTTATGTTAGTTTAACGAGTACACGCCAGTTGTCATAACTGACTATATCAGACCCAGTCAGTGTTTCTGTCTTACCTTGGCTTCATCCAGACGTCCCAATGCCTTCAACAAGTTCCCCAAATCACTTCTCACGCAATACAGATCCTGAAACAAATGTGAACACATAATTTTTAATCTGAACATAAATATAACAGTTACTCTCTACCATGCTAAACAAGCTTTCCAGAAATATCAACAATCCCAGAAATTCGTTGAAAAATTGTTCCTTGAGAGACTCGAATGCCTAAGCCTCAAGATCAATACAATTAATTATTTTGGATTAAATCAAAATATTTCAGTAAAAAATTTAAGATAATCCTAATAATTTATATCCTTTTTTTTTTTCAAGCCTTCTGAAAAATCATACAAAATTAACTTCACCATAAGCCTCTATTTCTCTTATAAATGGAGTTGTGCATAAAGCTATATGTACAGCAACTAATTTTCATTAAAAGACGATAGCATTTTCAGTTTATCTCAATTTTCACCCTGTAATACATCAATTTACATAGCAAGCACCAAAATTTGGTCGACCATCAACTTACTGGATTATACTGCAACGCTGTTACATAAGCTTGCACTGCTTGCTCCATGTCCCCTGCTGCTACCAAAGCAGCTGCCAGGTTGATGTAACCATCAATAAAATCAGGCTTGAGACGAACAGCATGGCGATAATTCTCCAGTGCCTCAGACAGCTGGTTCCGTTCTTTGTAAACATTGCCAAGATTAGAATAGGCCTCTGCCAGCATTGGGTTTTGCTTGATGGCTAGCTGACTGAAATATGCTGATCTGTAAAAGAAACCACAAAGAAAATATTAAAAACACATAAAATGGGTCTTTTCTTATGGTGAACAATCATGATGGCACTTATTAACAAATTTGTAGTAAATGTAATATTTATCCTTTATGTGTCAGAGCAGTTAGATCTTTGTTACAACACATCAATCAAAACGGTTTTACAATAACATACTATTTTCAATAGTCTGGAGACAAAAGCACTTGAGGGGGCAGGCAAAAATGGAAATCTAGCACTTTAGGTAAGTTCTGACACTTAAAATACAATTCCTCACCTGTCTAAGCGTCTGCATTGAAAATGTATAGAGCTGAGAAGTAGAAGGACACCAGTGTTATCCTGTTCCTGCCGCCACAACTGCATACAGTGTTGTTCAGATCGCTCGTAATCCCCTGCTTGATATTCTCTGTGGGCTAGTTCCGCCAGACCTAAGACAAAGTGCAAACAAAACTAGATAGTAAGTCTTAAGTCCCTCGATAGAAAACAATCATAGAAGACAGACTGGAAAGACATCAGAACCCAATTGGCCCAAGCAGGGTCCAGGGACAGGTCCCGGTGGGGGCTCAAGGGGCGAAGCCCCCAAAGAAAGTAAATTTTAGTGCTTTTAGAGGGTTGAAAATGGCATTAGGATATGGGAGCCTGTTTGAAGAGAATGCCAAACAACCCATACATATACTACCTATTTTTTCACAAAATTTTTTTTGTCTTGTTTGACTTTTTTCACCTGCATTATCTTTCCATGGCTGGCAATGTTTAAAAGCAAGTTCTCCTTCCATTGCTACTATAATTCAATTAATTTGTCATCGCACCATTGATAGAAGGCAAACCTGGGAATAATGAATAGATATACACCTTCACATTAGAAAGTATACCCTAATTTTCCTCAATTTTCACGTCTGAATGTCCGATGTCACAACCCCGGAACACCACTTCGAATTACTTTTGATTTTAGTAATTTTAGCACAAATTTCTTTCATCGTGGCCCTCACGTTCCCGTGCCGTAGAATCTTCACACTGATAATTTCTCTAGATATAGACAATAAATTTGCAAAAAAGTTTCTTTCTGACAGTAATTTTGCGTCTAAGATCACAAGTCAATTTACTTGATCAATGCGCAAATTTTCTAGCCGCGGCAACAATCCGAAGATAGATGGAAAGAAGGAATGATATAAAGGAGGAAAGTGGAAAGTGGCACAAAAAGTTCACTAGATTTTGATCAATCTGCAGGTAAAAAATGTACTGCCGACCAACCCGCAATGAATGCATGGGTCGAAATATGGGTTTTATCTATTCGCACTCGGGTCCGAAAATTTTTTTTAAATTTATTCGGACTCAGCTTCTAAGTGAGTGCAAGGAGGTTACATATATATAACTGTCGTCGGAGGATTTTACGTAAACCCAAAATTAGAACTAAAATTACCTCCTTGTTGGACACTGTGATTGTGTCAAAAGTCAAAAGACTGCACTCTCATTAGATCTACCAAATGGCAGTATCTAAAGTACACGGTAATCGACAACTCAGGGTCTTTCCACAACCACTCACAGCATCATCATTACTTCTAATAACATTGGTCTTTCCACATGTTTCATTTCATTTTTTTGCTCTAGTTCTTGTGGAATTATTTATTTAGGTAGTGTCAATTGCCACCGAGTAAATCGGAGCTCTTTTGCGTTGGTGAGTAGATCTAGCCTACGGTAGTGTCAATTGCCACCGAGTGGCGCGGTGGCAGTTGACAAAACCACAACACCGAGCACTCGTGCACAATAAAAGCTAGATCTACCCACCAACGCAAAAGAGCTCCAATTTACTCCGTGGCAATTGACAAAGCAAGTGGCTATTCTCCGGCGTCGCGCCGGTCAATAGATCGGATGCTATTCTCCGGCGTCATAACTGGGCCTAGTAGTAAGTCTACCTTTCATTATATTTTATCTATTGTAATTGTCTAACATAACTTTATTCATTTATTTCCATCGCCCATTTGCTTATTTTAAAATAATGATTCTGTTTATAAGAACGAACAAAATTGATTTTGTGTATAAAATCCAGTCTAGTCATATAGTATAGCTTGAAGTTTAACTTATTTCTTGATGTAATTTTCGATCAATTTAACTGATATGTCGCGACTTCAGTGCTTTCTTGTCGTATATCTCCATTTTTGTAAACAATGAAAATGTGACTCCTTCTTATGCTCACTCTTTGTTATAAAGAAGTGTATACAAGACCCGGTAACCGGGAACAAAGTCACGAAGTATACAGACCCGGTAGGGGAACTCTTTTGTGATTTCGGAAAGTTTCAGCGCCCTCTTGGCTCAGGGTAGACCTAGGTTCTTCTAGATCCATGGCCTAGGCTAGGTCTAGATAGACAGACTCATTGATCTAGTTTCGAGGCTAGCCTAGATCTATCTAAATGAATGAAGATTGCGGATGTCTTTTCGATGAACGATCGTCTTTCCTCAGTTTTGGAGTTGGAGGAATCACAATTTGAAGAAAAGAACAATCATTGTCATTTATAATTTTTCTCGACCAGTCATCCTCTCTACTTCTCTCTCTTTCTCTATCTCTGTCGCTCGCATTCTCTTTTTCTTTGTTTATCTCGTCTTTCTTTCTCCCCACCTATTTCCCACTAGATCTAGATCTAGATCTAAAATCTATATCTCTCTCTCTCGTTCCCTCCTGCCAACTGGGGCGTGTCATACATTTTGCTAGCAGTTCCCCCTACTCTCTCTCTCTCTCTCACACACACAGTATCGGGTCAGGGCGCTAAAACTTTCTGAAATCACAAAAGAGTTCCCTTACCGGGCCTGCCCTGTAGGCCTATACTTCGATACTAATCTGGCCGTCGTTATTCGGACTCGAGTCCGAATAACTTTTTTTTTCATATTCGGACTCGAGTCCGAATAAAAAAAATTCTTATTCGGGCTCGAGTCCGAATATGAAAAAATGTTATTCGGACTCGGGTCCGGAAAAAAGGAAGTGTCTTCGTTCTATAGATCTAACGTTCAGTGCTTCCAATTTTCCGCCATTTTTTAGTTTCCCCCACACCTTATCTGCCGATCCAATGCCCGCCGCCTCATTGATACGCCCCCCCCCCCCCACGTTTCCCACTTTCTTTGTTGTAGAAAAAGGTAAAATTGAAGATTAGCAGACCACCTGGCACCTGCATATTATGAGCTGTGTAAAAAAAAAAAGACCGATTCGTTCAAATACACAAGCCTGTGTCATATCGATTGTTTACCAAGAAAAAGTTGTGTTGCTGTGTAAGTGTAGAGCTGAGCATACGACAACTTTTGATTCCATAGACCAGCGCACAATTCATTACGTAGATCTACGTCAAGACTAGCTTATTATTGTAATAATGATCAGTTGCCGGGGGGAAAAAGACTGACGCGTATGCGACGTTCAACGCCCTGACCGATAGTGCCCCATCCCCACCACCCTCCCCGACACGCACACAGCCACACGTGTTCAGGCCGCCCATCCGACCCCGACACACGCTAACGAGCCATCTTTAATTGCTTCTGATGACCTCTTGACAAATAAACATTTATTAGAAGCACTATAACTTTTCAGGCCGGCCTCAAATTCATTATAATAAGATTAAAACTCGGCTCCTGCACAAAACGCCTTTTTGCCCGAAGTGATCCCGGTCTCTACCCAGCCTGAGGCAGGACAGGAAGCCGGATTCACGAGTCACAGGAAGTCGGAAGTGATGTCATGCTGGACAAGAATCAGAGTCCGAATAACATTTTTTCATATTCGGACTCGAGTCCTTCGTTGCCAGTTACCGGGTCTGTATACACTTCCGTCTTCGTTGTTATAAACTTGTGTCAATAGTTGTGAACACGTTTCTTCTAGCACCCAACATAATTCTAAATTGGAGGAATTGGGGCAGTTTGTGTCTGAAAACCTATCGTCTGTATCAGTATCAATTGGAAGTGGCATGAAGTGGTGAAGTTGTGGGAATTTTTTTCCGAGACAAACAGAGATCAGAGATGCATTTGAAAATCTGCGCCGACAAATTAGTAGATCAAGATTCTAGATCTAGATGTAGATCTAGATCTAGTAATAGACTGGTGGCGCAACGCCAGAGAATAGCTTCTGATTATTTGACCGGCGCGAGGCCGGAGAATAGCCACTTGCTTAGCTTAGCTGCATTGGCAAAAAGTCAACTTTTGTCAATTGCCAGCGAGTAACGCGGTGGCAATTGACATTACCTTTATCAAAACCTCATATTCAATGCAGTTCAGAAGGAAGGACTTCCGTAACGAGCGACCACCCCATCAAACATAATAAAGAAGAGGCCTAGAGATCTAAATCTAGATTAGACCTAACCCTACCCCTAGCCCTACTAAGCCTAACTGGCCGGTGACCCTGACCCTACCCCTACCCCAAGCCCAAGCCCTGAATTCTGCTCTGTCTCATAGTGGTCGCTCGTTACGGAAGGCTACAACAAGAAAGACATCAGTGACCAAATCAAATAGGAACCATTCAATGATGCATTTTCCATTGATAGAAATCTAGATAAGAGGCTTAGATGATCTCTAGGTTAGGTTAGGCTGGCTTTTAGTTGGCCTACAGTTGAAGTCAACAAGCTGATTAAGGCAATCTTTTTTATGGTGAAACAAAAGGAAAGAAACTTACCAGTGGAATCAATCTGCGCCATAGGCATCGTTGGTGTATTTTCCAACGACACAATACGTTGATGACTCTCTTGCTTGAAGAGAGGACGCTCTCTAAACGCGTCACTCCGTATAACTGCCACAGTGACACCGCTGTGCAAAAATGGCGATCACGCAATCAGGATGGCAATGCCACCAAAAAGACACCAATCTGATGAACACTGAAGTCTCACACGTCTGCAAATCACAGCAATATGTACATTACTTACGATCTACAGAAATCTGGAAGCGTTACGTAAAACAGACTATCTTGACAATAACGGCTGGTTAGATCTATTTAGGTGTTTAGTACTTGTTCCAAAACAATACCAAGCAAGAGTCAATAGAGAAAGACCCTTCAACCGTCCGACATGCCGTGTACAAATTGATGTGCGTCATTGGGTCATGTGACCAGTTTCAGCTGGTGATTTCATTATCATAGTTTTAGTCTTATTTAACTTTTATATATTATTTTTATCTAATGGCTTATCTCTCTTTTAAATATTCAAACTTGGTAGTTATATTAATTTATATAAGAAATTAATCTACATTAAACAAGATGCATTCTTAGCCGACAAAGTTAGTCAAATGACGGAACAGCCAAACAGTGACGTCACTAGAGAGGAAAATTTTCACCCCAAATTAGGTCAATTCCCTCTTGATGGCGGCCTGTTGACCTACTTTTATGAGCGGATGGGTAATGATTTCATATTAGGCCAGGCCTAGGATGGAGAGATGGAGAGGGGGGGAGGGGGTGGAGAACGGAGAAAAGGGGTAGGCCTGGGCCTGGGGTGTTATGTAGGCCTAACAGCTTGAATTTTTTTTTTTTACAGTTCCATAAAAGTAAAACGTATGGAGATGAAGTAGATCTGCAGTTGTACAGTTGTAACCTATGAAAGAAAGGGCTTCCAGATAATACAATAATAATAATGCATAATTGTTCGTCCGTCAGTTTATGACGATTACCAAAGCAAACTGTGGAGAATAGTAATTTCTAGATAAGAAATAGAAAAAAAAGCGTTAGATAACTTGCTACTTTTACTATAATTGAGACAAATTCAGGCTTTAGTCACGTTTTGAGCCTTAAATTAGAAGCTTACTCTTCACTTCAACTTGTGGATGGGCGCAGTAGCACTTCAAATTTGAGAAACCTTATTTATGACTATAATGCTGCCCACTGCCCACTGCGACTCTGATCTCCAAGTGGGTTAGTCAGGAACTGTATATATGTCCCCTCCCATGTCAAGGGATTAGGCCTCATATGTTGAGCTGAAAAGTCATGACTGAGATTGCTAACATCATCAACATGCTCACTAAGCTGCATGCGTGCGTTATACAGTATACACACTGAACATTTTCCGTCCGTCTTCCTGTCTTGAAAAGCTAGGGATCTCGAACCCCCCCCCCCCCCCCCCCACGACTCCAGTAAAGTAAAACTTGACGACAAGATTAACAAACCATCATAACTTGAGCTAACATGCTGCAATAAATTTATGGATCCAAAACCGTACCACCATAAGAACCTTTTGATACTAGCTAGGCCTTCAGATAGCGTCAATCTTAAGGCACACCCCCACCCCAACCCTGAAAAAGAAAGACAACCACAAACGAATAAACAAACAAAAAATAGAACCAACTTAATTCAACAACAAACAGAAGTAAAAAAGAATAAAATCCCACTGTCAAAGCCAGATAGAAATAATATTAACTAACCGTAACAATAACAAAAAGAAAGAAACAACCATTAACTACATTGAAAAGACTCAGCAATTCATCAAAAGACAACTGACAATTTCTCGTTTTGTTCCCTCCTTCTCCCTATGTTCAAACAATAGGTCATGTTGAATAAACCGACGTTTATATTGTAGGCCCTAGGCCCTAATGGAAGACTTCATTTGGACACTCGGGACCTGAGTTCGATTATCACAAGGTTAAACATACGTACACGAGTATAAGCCCTGTATGTTGTACAGTGGAACTCGGATTTAACGACCTCGGATTCAACGAGAACTCGGATTCAACGAGATGAGATAGATTCCCCGTTGTTTTTCTTCTTTAAAATCAATAAAAGTAACCCGGATTTAACGAGCACTTAAATAAGCGAGCTCGGATTCAACGAGATCGCTTTCAGGGTGAACAGCTCCCGCAGACGTGGCTTCGTTAATTTTTCTCCCAAAACGAACTTTATCTATTCCCGGAAACCATCCATTGCACCTGCATCGTGAACCATTATTCACTTAGCCGATTGCATGCGACCAATCAGGGGCCTTTTTAAATAACAACACATGCGTTGTTGGCACGCGCACGTGTCTACTCTGGCGTGTATCGAGGTCGGATGGGCGGCCTGCACACTTGTGGTTGTGTGTGCGTGTCGGGGAGGGGGGAGGGGGCACCAGCGGTCCGGGCGTTGAACGTCGCATATACAAAGGCGTCACGGTTTTTTTCCCCCCATCGGAAACTGATCATTATTACTTATAAGCTAGCCTTGACGTACGCTCGTAGATCTACGAACTGAATTGTTCCCTGGTCTATGGAATCAAAAGTTGCCGTATGCTAGGCTCTACACAGCAACACAACTTTTTGGTAAACAATCGAGATGACACAGTCGTGTGTATTTGAAAATCGGTCTTTTTTTTACACAGCTCGTAATAAGCAGGCATTTCAGGCACTACTTGTGACTTGTCTTGTACATTACTTGCTCAGTGCCGTTAATTATCTACACAAAACCTCGTGTTTGCTATAACGAACACTCGGATTCAACGAGATTTTAGGTCGGGCCCAGGGACCTCGTTGAATCCGAGTTCCACTGTATTTCTGTCTTTCTTCTGAAGCAGGTGCATATGGCCCCTAAATTGTATATGTGTATACAGTAGGCCCCAAAGGGCTGGCTGGCGTAGTGTCGGACCGACGTGATAAGCTCTATCCGAATTTTGTTATAGACGGGGATCAAGTTTACATACGGTGTAACTAATGATTGACGAATAGGTCCGTTTTTATTACATAGATTACCCACTGCCACCAGTTACTGCTCCTTTCTTTTCGAGAGATAATTTGTCGCTCCTCAGTTTTATCCCCCCCCCCTAATAAGTCCCAATAGCCCCAGAGAATTTAACTAGACTTCCTTTAGGACGCGCGAGTTGCCTACAAATAAATAATAATAATAGCCTTTTATATAACGCATCCCATGCATGCTTGTACAACAGGCTCTGTGAGACTTTAATCTATTCATAATCAAATTGGAACAACCGCAGTGCAGTAGGCAAAAGAAAACCTGGAAAATTTGCATTAAAACCAAGTTCCTTAAGGTGCATCCAGCTTTCTGTCGTCCCTCTCTTGCACACGCGGTATGGCATATAATAAAATTTAAGATCAACACTCCACACAACAATTAAGTCTCCTGCATGTCATGAAGATGCATCGCTCGCCTTGTTGGGTACGTGTAGTTTTGCGTCATCTTCTTCCTTTATGCTTTCTTGTCCATTTGTTTTAGGATTTATCCAAAGGTTGGTCAAAAAAGGTTGGACCAATAGGCTGCTATAGCCGAGGATGCCGCTTATGCGGATGCCTGCTATAAAAGAAATTATTTTACTATTCATCATGAGAGGCCGGGCTCGAGAATTTGTTATTATAAGCCTGTTATAGCCGAAATCCTGCATATAACCGAAACTGATAATGGGGCCCACTAGTGCAGTCGTTAACAATCATTCTAGGCTACTAACCCACTCACAATAGACTGGCAAAGAAC